AGATGTGTATAAGAGACACGAATATATGGTTCTGTACCTTGTGTATACTAACAGTATATTTGTATTACTTCGGTTACTTACACGTCACTTTTTGATGACATCTTTCGTTCGGTAAAGGTTTCAATAGCTTGCCATCTCCAGGGAAGGGCCTCATCTGTTTTCATTCTACGATAGTTTCTTTCATATATATCATGACTCAATCCGAAATCGGTTATTTTCACCACCAAGCCCTTATCGATCAAAATGTTGCGAGCTGCGAGGTCACCATGTAAGAAACGTTTCGAAGAAATGTATGCCTATATATTATAATTTAAAAGAAAGCATATAAATCATCTGGACAACTGTAGGTGATTATTAGATCTTGTAAAGCGTCCACCATCACATTCGACAGAAAAGAGACTTGTGCAAATTCAAATTATTACCCGTAGGCCTACAATCTAACCGTCAAGCCAGTGAAAACTCACTGTTTTGTCTCAAACGGTTGACACTTTAGGCCAGTGTTACGAACAAGCATGTGCTAAAAGCTGAACGCCTAAGTACGCGATGTTTTATTGGATCCCTTGATGAATCTGTATATTTTGAAGTTATGCAAAATATTTCTCTTTGGCTTATAGACAATCCGAGTAAAAAAAAAACACATAGGCTTACCATCCCTTCCGCGATTTGCACGGCTATTTCAAGTTGATTTATCCTCTCAATGTTATATATTGGGTCGTCTTTTGGTGCCTTCTTGTTTTTAACCTTTCGCAAAAAACTGTACATATCTCCATATTGAACAAATTCATTAATCATCATTAAAGGATTTGATGACGTATTGTATCCTAAAAATCTGACGATGTTTTCATGAGTTCCCAATTTTATGATTTGTTTGATTTCTTCCACGAAATCCTGAAGTTCTTTACCGATTGCCATTTCTAAAGCGGAGAAAACAAAATATAATAATACTATATTAAACCATATTGAAAAAACAGCATCTACAGAGCAAATTGTCAAAAAAGTATAGAGAACGGCGATTCTTTACTCTTTGAAATTGCCTTAGACAATTTTCACACTAGACTAGTTAACACAAGAATGGTCGTAAACCGACTGAGAAGTCTGTTATAAAATAGGCCTACGTTTTATAAATAATTTTCAATAAATCTAATAATATTCAACAAGAGAACAGACAAAGAAAGGAAGAATATGGTTAGAATTTTCCTTCGATCTTGAGACCGAAATTTGTTTTGTTGATGGACAGAGAGGAGGAATGGAACAAACATGTACCACCGGTACGCAAACAGATCCAAAGGAACTGTGGCACGACCCTGCATTAAAGCAGCTATTATAACTCCTCTACATATATAAATCGCCGCGGGATGTGAACAATTTTATATTATATTAATTACGTTTCGGTACTTTGACTGCTGCGTCCACGGATTCCTCCATTATTTGAACTTTACATCTGTAAACCTCGCCGTAGTGGCCACTTCCTAACATAATTCGTTTTTCCCAGGTAATGTCGTCTCTATGTATTTCGTATTGTAGGTAATCAGCCAAAGCTTTCGTTGCAAAATCTTAAGACAAAAAAAAAACGTATAATGAAACACAAAGAAATAATAGTTTTCATTAACCATTGCAAACACAGATCCTGTTTCAGTGGGTTATCCTGACTAAAACCAGAAAAAAATATCAGAAATAGCTATCCCCGCACCCCCCCCCCTCACACTAAAATACTAAAATTTTACCGACATGCATGTTTTTTATGAATATCAAATAATAGCATAGTAAGTTTGCCTAATAAATCTTTTATTTAAGACCTATGAAAATGTTAGTTTATCAACTACACGTGGGTCATGAAGGTACCACACTTCCATGGTTAGATTAAAACAAATGTTTTAGTAGTCCGCCCGTCTTCCAAAACAACAAATCCTGGATCACCCCTGCATATTTGATTTTTACAAAGCCTAGATATCAGTACCTGTCTCTTGTTGGAAATCGGTTGGTACAAATATCCTTAGATCTCTTTGATCTGCAACAAAAAATCATAAAAGCTCGTTATAATGAGTATCCGGGCACTCAAAGCGCGAGACATCGTCGGCTATATGGAGAACGCAATGCCACGACGCACGAGCAACGGATATTTTTTAATGATGATCCATCAATCAAACTTTCACAGACATACCAGCAGACCTGCGGCGTCGCGTCGTTTCGAGAGCGGAATTTGACTCGTCGGCCGACGGTCGTACTACGTGAGTGCCCGGCATAATGTTAACGTGTATGTTGCAGTTATGCTGACGATGTGTAGGTAAATTCTGTATTCGTATTGGTGTGTTACTACACTCAATAAAACAAAACATTGTTTAATCGGTGTGTGTATTGTGAGGTGGTCATAATACAATGCAGGACTAATGTGGTTCTAGAGATTTTTTTTTAAATAATAGAAGACAAATTGTAATTTCAAAATTCTAGACTCGTAGTATGCTCTAGAAGCAGTCTATTTTCATTATTAATCTATAAAAGATATGGAAGAGTTTAGAACCCCATTAATATTTCCTTTCAGATTCTCAGAGACGTAGGGACTATCATTGCTATACCGAGCTCTTGATTCTATCTGTTTACTCAAAACGACAATCCCAACATACAAATTCAACTGTTCAACTAGGTTTTGTGTTAATTCATGAAGTTTATAACTAGACTAGAAAACTAATTTAGTTATTTTCAGTTTTCTTAATAAAGGTCGTCAGTTTGGATATTCAGTGTTTTTAAACTTTATTACAGACATTTTTGTCCAACAATCGATAAATCAAAGCACATACCTCTTTTGGCTTTCCCGTGCAATATAGCTACCAAGAATATAGAGAGGAATACTACTACAATGCCACCAATAATTACGTAAATGTATAAATCTTCTACATCATTGCCACTTGGGCCTGGTGCTATAAGAAAAAAAAATATCGATAATGTTTTAAAAATGTAAGTAATGCTTATTAAATTAAAAAGTGTCTATTTTACTAGAAATTGGCTATCTCTAAAGCTATGTCCTCACTCAAATTTTGTGTGACAAGATGTGCCCATATATAGGAAGGCCTATGTGACGATGTCATATACACCAAAATTTACAGGGGTTGCAGACACATTCGTGTTGTGCATTGTTGTTGACACAACCCCTTGACCGTTTGACGTCAAAAAAATAAATTAAAATAAATTAAATAAAAATATTATATCGCATTTATTTGTCACATACAATTTGATTGTATTGACAGAAATTAATTATGTTTAAGATGGAGTGCGCCCTCTAATCACCACAAAAATACTGTACAGGTTAAAAACGAACAGGTATCATAAACAGCTAAATAAACATTGACTAAACTTAGAAGAAATAACTAGATATTTACCTTCAGTTGGCAAATATGTGCTGAACGAAACTGTCCTTTTACCTTCTTTTGCGTATTCACCCTCAACTACAGTCGCCGTAATCTATTTTGGAAATAAACGAAACATGCCAGCTTAACCAAACTGATGATTAACAATTCGGTCATTAATGAAAACAAACACATAAAGTTATTAGGAGTAACGTTACAAAATAACCTACAGTGGGATATTCATAGTAATGAAATTGTTGGACGGGCAACTAAACGATTATATATACTGTATATCTTACGCAAGTTTGGTGCACCGCAGAAAGATCTGATTGATGCTTACAAACATATATTAGGCCAGTACTCGAGTACTGCTGCCCAGTTTGGCACTCCAGTTTAACTCGGCATCAGTCAGCACAAGTGGAATATGTACAAACGCGAGCCGTGGAAACAACTGATGGATATTACATGCCCTATACTGAAGCTTGTAATAATCTTGGTATCCAAAAATTACAGGAAAGGATAGATTGACTTGTGTCGTCTTTTGGGATGAAATCTTAACGTCATCGACACTTTTTGCCAGATGCTAACACCGCTAATCATCAAATTACGTGACTCCAATAAAATACAGATCCCAGTTTGCAGAACACAACGCTATAAACGAAGTACTATTCCTTGTTTGGTTACTCGGCTACACGCTGTGATAGACTGAATGATTTTGAACAGTTTTATTAAATGCTAATAATTTCAATTGTAAAATTTAGATTAATAATTCTTCCCAATTTAAGCCTATTTAATAATTTTATAATTATAAATACTGTAATTTGTATTGCTCAGTGGTCTATTTTTTGTGATTTCTAAGTGAAATTTTTTGAATTTTTTTTATAATTTGTAAATATATTTAAATAATTAATTCTTTTTTTTTCTTTTTTTCCCTTTTTTTTATATATTTGAATAATGAAGTAATATTAATAATCTTTAATTATCTTAATAAATTTAAAGTAACGATTTTAATAATTATAACTATTGTAATTAAATTGTATTTGCTGAAAATTTAATCATCATTTTATGCTGTTGGCCTGATTCTAATTCATATGTCACAATCTCATTCTTTTTCTTTTTTTCTTATTTTAATTGGCTTTTTATCTGTCTTTTTTATTCGCCTAGCGGAAAACAGGATTTAAGCTGCATTTCACACCGAATCCGAACTTCCGGATCGGAAGCCCACCGAAGCGATCAGAAAATCGAATCGGTATGTAAGAATAGGGACGCTGGCGTTCCAGCGCTTCGGAAATGCAGTCCGAATTTCGGTTCGAATCCGATGTGAAAGCAGCGTAAGGAACATTTAAAACCAGATATTATGCAATTTCCATTATTCAAATTGTTTTATAATATAAATCTTTATACATTAGGCCTATTTATAACATGTATTTTTTCTTACATTTAAAGTATAATTGTGATCTTTTTGCAGAGGATTGGGCAGCATATACGTTAAGAATCCAGTTGGCACATAAGTGAAATTCTACCAAAAAAAAAAAGAAGAAAATGTCAATTATTTGAATTATATAATAATATGCATAATAAAGCTTCTGTAAATCATTAAAAAAAATCTGGTGATCTGGTGACGATTAATTGTTAAAAGTTGTTGCTAAGTTTTTTGACGAGCAGTTTTAATTTTTGTATTTAATATTTTTAGGGATGTTTTTAATTTAAGAGTTGCAGAATATCTTTAGTCATTTGGTACCTTAAACTTTATACTTTTCTTGCCGGCATCGTCGCTTTCCCAGGAAACGCCATAATAGCTTAATGGTGTATCGGGGTTTGCATGAATAGGTTGCTGCCAAGTTACGTATACATTAACGTCATTGGTTCCATCAATTCTTTCGATGTCTGTAGTTATATTAAATGGTTTTCCAGTGTATTCAACCGCTTTAATTTACAAAAAAAAAATAAGAGAAATAATAATAAGTGTTATTCACAAATATATTCTACATTTATTTTCGTAACACCACAAATCATACCATTATTGAAATACATAACAGTACACTGCTTTAAACCAGGGTCGGACAAATTTTTGGCACTTGGCCCAGTAAGCAACTTCATGCGTTTGCAACTCATGTGGTAGGCCATTGTTAACCCATAAAACAACTAAATCTTTCTAATACGTATATTTGGATTCTATTGTGTACGTTAATACATGGTTAAGACCGTATTATTAGATTTGATGGAATGGTTCAAACTGCATTATTAGATTTCATAAAATCATAGAAATTAAATGACCATCTTGTTGATTTGTTTTGCATAACTATAAATTAAGGGCACTAAAGAGATGTAAAAACCCCTAAAAGTAAATTATCAAAAAAACTTTTTATTTTATAAAAAAAATTTTATTTCTATATTGACTTTCTACAATAGGCCTATTACATATTTTGAAATTTTAGAGGTGTTTGTATCACTTAGTAATGACACAATCTCTGATTTTGGGTGGAGAATGATGAAAATTGTTCCTACAATTATCCTAATATAATTTATGTTGATTCAGCAAAAAAAAAAAACATTTTTAAAGTAAAAGTTAAATAACTATTTTTTAATTTTCTTATTTTGTAATTTTTATTGTTAAACCTAACTTTTTTGAGATGCAAATATATTTAACAAATTGATAACTTCAGGCCTGATATATATTTTTTTTAAACAATTACGATGCAATAAACTTTTTTTTATTTGCGACACAAATTATTCTTGTAATCTAAATATTTGGCTGTTTTAAAAATGTTAATTTCTTTACATATTGTTCATGCTTTTTTGCAAATTTTGAAATGTTCGTGTTAAACTTGAAATAAATATAAATATTTCATTAGAGCAAATAGGAATATGTATGTTGTGAACAATTTGTGACAAAAATCAAGTCTCTACAGTTTGTAGTTGCCAAGATATGAGCACTTTTTGTTTTTATGGCGGCCATTTTGAAATCAAGATGGCCACCATAGCAGACGTTGGACGTTTGGCACCCCCCCCTATATTTTAATTCTATATACATCGAAGAAACTTTGTGCCAAGTTTTATGCTTTGGTAATAAAATGCACAACTTGGCTATTTTTGTGGCATTAACTGCTCTACTAATGCTTGAATGAACAGATATTTCACATTTTTTTAAAACTTTGATGTTTACACACAGCACTATCGTCGTATTTTAAGGGGGTCATTATACTTACTGACATGAGCGAAACAAATAGTATCTTGATCGCTCGAACTAATATTCTAGGGTAACGAAATGCTATTTTGAGGGAATGAAATATTAATTCGAGGGAACGAAATTTCAAAATAATTTCAAAAGGAGTAAAATCATATTCCGAAAAGAATTTAGAAGCCTTAAAATAATGTTTTTTGGGAACAAAATGACCACGTTCAAGGAAACGAAATAGTTTGAAATTATTAATGTAAACAAAAAACACCTTTACCCGTATACGGTACCAAGGATTATTTGAAACTTGCATTTCAGCCCTTTAGCTGAAATACAAGGAGAGCAGCGATGGGAATTAACCCGGGGACCAAGAGATCTCCACGCCGGATTAGCGCACACACAGTGGCTACCACCATAGCCGACTGGGCTAACTGCTCTCACATGTTAGAATATTTTAAAATGGAAAAAAAAAAACATAATGTAAGTTGCGGTCATCCATTAGTGCGAATACCTTTTTCTCTATACCATTCTAAGTGGCATAATGGGGATTTCATTTTGTATTAGACTGCTTTACCTCTTAAGAGAACTTGAAACAATATCGAACATAAAGTTTCGTCCACCCTATCACTTTTCTTTGATAAATACTGTTGTAGCCATGATGTGCATATGGTCATGCTATGATGTCATCATGACCATATTTAGGCATGTCACATGATTTTGTCAAATAAAATTTGATAGTCTGGACAGGGCATCAGACTTACGCTGAGTTAAGCAGAATGGAATACTTTCAGTTTCATCGTAGCAATCTATACCTCACGGTAGAGGTGCATTATAAATGCCTATACCAGTACCAGATATCACATGCAATACTCTCAACATAAGAGTGTCTACAACTACGTGGTGTTCAAAATAATTTAAGCTTTTCTTTATTTCCAATCTGCTGACTCAACAATCGCTATTTTATACCCGACCCAAGAATAAACAGTGGCGTAGTTGGGGGGGGGGCAAGGGTGGGCCCATGCCCCTGGCGCCGGGTTTGAAGCTCTGAAATGGAAGAATGAGAGTAAAAAATTAAGCACTTTTTAGAAAAACATGCAATCGCGTTTGCGACTTGTACAATACCCACTTAGATTTCAAGGAGGTGTATAATGAAGTAATAGATTGCAGAATGCTGTCGAAAAGATGAAGAAACACCAGCATCAAAAAACGCAGTGGAACTCCTTGAGTTTATCGTACAGTACGGTGATGAGAACGTTTTTCCGAACTTTTGAGTAGCAATTCAAATCATGTCGACAGATATTTCAATCGCTAGTTGTGAGCGCTCATTCAGCAAGCTAAAGCTCATGCTGCCTTATCTAGAGACACGATGGTACATGCGAGACTATCTGCTTTGGCACTCCTTAGTATTGAGCGCGATGAAGCAGACAACATTAACTTTGATCATGTTAGTAACTTATTTGTTGATGCAAAAGCACGCAAAATGCAGTTGCGATTTTAAACAATGTTACAAATTCAGCAACTTACAAGACTCTACTATAAAATAAATTTAGAGAATAAGATTATTAAGCTGTATGCAATAAATACATCAGCCTTACAACTTAGGATAATGGTAAAGTTGTATACAAAGTTGCGAACATCGTAATGCAGTTTCAATAGTAAGAAGAATCTACCATCTATGAGAGAATAATAATAGTTATTTGGGTTTAAATAATGTTATTTAGACAGTTCGCTTATTTTTAGAGTGCATGGTACCAATGTTATAATTGCACCCCCTCCCCCCGGCGCCAAAACCTCTAGCTATGCCACTGCGAATAGACGTATGAAAGCCTGTTCAAAAACTGACGCTGCACGTCTTAAACTGCGGTGGTGAACCTTTCCTGTCATTCGATACTATTTCTACCCCTCCTGTTATACTCCTACACTTTGGGAGTTCTTAGGAGGTCTGCTTTACCCACCGGAACCACAACCAGAACCACACGAGAATCCTCACTTTTATAAACAAATAATATTATTAATACGACACGCAACAGCAAAGTAACAATCTCCATTTTAAGATATAAACGTTTACTAACCTGGTGATTTTGTAACCGTTTTTAAATAGTTACCCCTTATATTATCTGCAACCATTGAAACATATATCTGTAAAATTAATGAAGAATTTAATAACAAAAGAAGTATCCAGATCGAAATCCAGAATAAAAAACAACAATCATTTGAGTTTGTATAATTGCACAGGAAAACTATTCTGTCATCCATTCGTAAAGTTGTCCGGATGCGCTGGCGTCATTTGTTGGGGAACACTGGGGACAACCCCCCACCCCCACTCAATGCCACATTCAAAGTAAGGGAGAACTCATATAAATTGCGCCCCACACCAACCGTTCACCAATCTTCTATAGTTACACCCCCAATTTTTTTAAGAGAGTGAAAAGAACAACACTAATTACGAATGACTGTAGTACATTTTTTTGTTCACTTCTGTTTCTTTGCGGTGGGCATTTTCTTGCCAAAACCGGGTAAAAAACGCCGTGTTTGTACATTTTGTATCTCAGTAGGAGAACCACTCCATCGATCAATCGTGTAGATGCAGTACTTTACTACATGCACCACAGCGAAATTCAAAAGAAGAAAACGAAATGATCTTGATTGATTTTAAAAGTAAATGCAAAGAAACTATAGTGACTGTTCCTTTTTTCCAATTCGCCCCTCCCCTCTTTCAACCCCCCATCCCACCCCACCCACTTCCAACCACGTATCGACACACATGTCCGCGTCCGAATGGCGTTATTTTTACATCATATTATAAAAATAGGTATTGTGATGATGATTTTTAAATTTTTAAATAAAAATACTTACCTTTATCTGGTAAAGAAAACCATACTGAAGCCCAAAGAAGGCACACCAATTACTGCCCTAATAAGAATTAATAGTTTTATATTTATTATGTATTAAAGACAATACAAAAACACAATACAAACAAAGCATCAATAAAACTAATTACTGAAAAAGTTACCGTAAATGACAGATAAGCGTCGTGAAACATTAAAGCACGCTTGGTAATATATATTTTTTTCTTTTCTTTTTATTCATATCCAAATGCCATAATAACAAAACAAAAACACGCTTTGTAATATAATCTTTTAATAACTATTTAAATAGAATGGCGTAAGGAGCTTAGCTAAAAAATAAATCTGTTTAATCATAATTTGAGAGAGGCGCTTAATTTAATCTCAAGAAGCGGTTTGATTTAAGTTACATTTTTTACTATAAAATTCTCCATAACACAGATAAATTACTGGAAAGACAAAAATACAAAAATGTTGGTCAATAAATTTCTGTTATTGTCATCAGCATCACACCACCACCACCACATCATCTTCATTATAGTATCAGTATTATTATGTGTTAAAAATCACAAATGAATAGATTTACCCTCATTTTAGCATCATCATTTTCGTATTCACAATTGCTTCTAACACATTCAAAGAAACTTTCTGTTTCTGCGCTTTGCAATTCAAACTCTACGTCATAGCCATTGTACTCTAAGAGATAAAATATTTAACATTATTATTATTATTATTATTATTATTATTATTATTATTATTAACATTTGTCATATACAAAACAAATAAGATCAGTACTAAACATTAAAGATGTATTGTCCCCTAAAAAGAGCAACACAAAAACAATCATAGAAACACTTTAGTGACAAGAATAATCATTTTTCACAATATACTTACGGGTAAGTACTGTTTAGATATATACTTTTTATTGATAATGTTCATATTACCTCAAAATGAGCATGCTTTCACTATCAACATTTATGAATTTTTGAATATTTGGCCTGTATCAATCATCAATAAAACATTTTAGTAAATAATGATGATGATGATGATGATGATGATGATGATGATGATGATGATGATGTCGATTAATTCGTCCAATAGTCTAGCTGTGCACATATTTCACGGAGATGGTTGCGATGCATTTTTAGGTGAGAGGTAGGGCCTACAATAGTTGAGATGTATACGGTACACGTTCAACCCGAATACACATTACCGAAAGAAAATATGCCCATTAAATATGTTTAACAATAAGGACTATGTACAACTTTCGTTAGTGCCTTTAAAAAATTATCTTGGTAACTAACCGGGGATAGGTATCCAAGTCACGTTCACCCATAGCTCCCATGCAAGACTTCCATCGGAATCTGTAGGCGTGCTTGTATACATTGTTGATAGAGAGAGTTCTTCGATACGTCGCGTACTTAAATCTGAGACAAGACGTCTTTCACAATATGAATATACAATCTTACTGATTATAGGCCAAAAAATAAATTGTTTATTTGCCCTTCTTTTTTACAAAAATGATAAACAGGGGCGGGTGGAAACATTTTTTTCTTATATATTTCTTTTTAAAGATACTCATCAGATGGAATAAGAATAACCCACCCGAGGCCTAGATTGGCAATATCTTACATCAGACAACAACTTTAGACTAATCTGTAGGGCATCTGGCAAAAAATAAAGATAAATTCACTCACATTTTTTTTATTTGTAAAGAAAAAGGCTACAAAAACCAAAAACTTTTCAAAGTTTTTTTTTTTGTTCTTCCACCCCTATTTTCTTCAGTGAGTTAAGGGCGGGAGGAGGATGGCAAACAAACATTTTTTTGGCCTTACAATGACGAATATAACATCAATAACAATGGAAACAACATCAACAGCAATAATAGCCAATAATGGTATATGATGATGATGATAATAATAATACTATTAATAATACAATAATTAAGAATTATATAATTTTTAACACTAAATGAGCTCTAGGCCTGTGGACCCCTTCAACTATTCCCCTAGTAGCCTATCAATAATGCTCACCCAATCTGAGTGCTCTTAAATCTACGTGT